CCTCGGGACCAGCCCCCCCGCCAGGGAGGAAGATCTTCATGAGGAAGCAAGACCTGGCGAGGGGATGCACAGAACCCGCGGGGACAAGGGCCGCCCTGCGCTCACCGGTCAGCCTGCTGCTGCGCCGCCTCCCGGGCCAGTTCGGAGGGTGGGAACTGGACAAAAAGGTCCCCAGCTCTGCTGATCAGGGTCTCGTAAGGAAGGTCCTGCGGGATTTGGGACAGGAGGTGGTGGACCGAGGCCATGTCGCATTCGCAGTCCAGAACTTCCTGCTCGCGGTACAGCACGATCTGCGGAGAGGAGCGAGAGCACTGAGGACCGCCGGGGGGCAAGCGGGGACGACGCCTTGTCCCTCGCTGGCACTCACTTCAGAGCCAGGAGAGAAAAACATTTCGCTTCCAGCTCAAAGACCTGCCCTTCCTCGAAGGGCTACACCGCAGGGAAGCATTCCCCGTCTGGGAAAAGAAATGCCAAACCCTTCCTGAGACTCTGAGGCCGTGGAAAGTCCCTTCCCGGGTAGTTACGTGTCTTCAGAGCCTGCTGCAGGTCAGAGACACGGGCAGAACCTCAGCAGGGCTTGACTCTGCAGCTTGCCCTCCAACAGGGGTTTGTTTGGACCCCCTCACAGGAGAAAGGGCGGACAGACAGACAGCACAGGGCTGCCCCCAGGCTCCCCAGCACCCAGGCAAGCACCCAGCAGCGGGGCCAGCACATCAAAGCAAAGGAAAACACCAGGTCACGCTGCCTCCACGGCGCTGAACCAGATCTGGACCAACCCCCTGGCCGCCTCGAGTGCTTCTGGATCCCCTCTGCCATCGCCAAGGGCGTCGCTGGCCTCGGGGTTCCCCTGCAAAGCAGGGGACAGCAGTGGTGGGTGTGCCGGGCCCCCCCCTCTGCAGCCCCAAACTACTCCCAGTGGTTCAGTTAATCTGGCCAGTACCTACCACAGCAGCAAAATAAATGGGCATCAGCGGGTGGCAAGCCAGGAAGAAGTCATATAATCGCACGACGTGCCTGAAGTCGGACAGAACGTGCCCGAACCAGGTGATCAGCCAGCTGAGGGCAAAGATGGTGCCCACCTCCGCACTGCGCAGAGAGAAAGTGCTGTCAGACCGGCAGCCGCTTGGAAACAGCTCCGAAACGCTCCTGGGCGATCCCTGCCCCGCACTGGGAAGGGGGGATAGACCCGGCTGGCGGCAGAGCATTCAGAGCTCAGCCCGCACCCGCGAGCTGCACCTCTGCCACGACCCCAGGGCAAAGGGCCACTCGTCTCGCATCCAGTGGGGTCCACAGTACAGATCCAACTGGTTCAGGAGAACCTGGATGCGTGATGGACCACGTCACTGCCTGGCACGCTGCCCTGAGAACACCCCAACACCCTGGAGGCTCACTAACTCCTGGGAGTTCCCAGTCAAGCTTGGTGCCCAAAGACATCCTGGCCATGAAACGCAACGGGGACACCGGCCCCGAGGAGGACTCTGGACTGAAGCTTCCCAGTTACCTTCCCGCTCCTGACCTGATCTGCCCAGACTACACTCGTGCGTCCCTATCGCCAAACCTGGGAATCGTCCCCAGAACCAGCAACAACCTACAGCGAGGTGACACCGGCCACGAAAGTGGGCACGCGAGGCGGTGGTGGCAGCTGTGTACGACACCGTCCACACCCCCCCCAGCCCTTCCAATGCGGACTGCAGGCCACGGGGGCGGAGATGGCACCACGCAAAGCCCCCCAGGACAGGCAGCCTAGCTCCGTGTCTGCTTGGAAGCAGAGCGCCACGTGGCTGTCAGCTGTCACCGCTAGCTGGGGGTCAGCTGCTGACTCCCCGGGGGGGAGCCACCGGGGTGCTGG